AAAAAACAGTAATGTGGTATGAGGTTTATAACAGATAAAAAGTAAAATGTATGATAACAGCTATAAAAATTTTAGAAAAAAAGGGGGGAAAACCTTTGTGATCTTGAGTTAGGCAAACATTTCTTAGAAATAACATCAAAAGAACAATCCATAGAGAATAAACTGATAAACTGGATTTCATCAAAATTAAGAAGTGTACAGTATCTCCAAAAGATACTGTTAAAAGAATGCAAGACAAGCAATAGACTTGCTATGGTTTGAACGTCCCCTCCAAAACTCATGTTGAAATGTAATTGCCACTGTAATAGTATTTAAGAGGTGAATAGGACATGAGGGCTTTACCCTCATTAACAGATTAATGCCATTATCTTGGGAGTGGATTCTTTTTATAAAAGGAACATGTGAGCTCCCTTTTGCCTCTCTCTCACTCTCTCTTTGCCATTCTGCCATATGAGGACATAGCAAGAAGGCTCTTGCCAGATGCCAGCTCCTCGGTCTTGGACTTCGCAGCCTCCAGAACCACCAGCCATAAATTTCCATTCCTTATAACTTTCCCAGTTGTGGTATTCTCTTATACCAGCACAAAACAGACTAAGACAAGACTGAAAGTAAATATTTGCAACTCACGTATCTGATTAAGGACCTGTATCCAGATTACAGAAAAACTCTCAAAACTCAATAAGGAAACAACACAAGAAAAAAATGGGCAAAAAGTTTAAACAGACACTTCAACAAAGAAGATATATGGATGGTAAATAAGCACATAAAAAGATGCTCAATGTCATTAGACACCAGGGAAAGGCAAATTAAAACCACAATGAGATACCACTATACACCTAGTAAAATGGCTATGAAAAGCCTGACTATACCAACTGTTGGCAAGGATGTGAAGCACCTGACACTCTCATACACTACCTTGGGTATGTAAAATGATATAACCACTTTGGAAAAGTATGGTTGTTTCTTTACAAGGTAAATGTATACCTACCATATGACCCAGCCATTCTACTCCTAGGCATTTACCCAGGGAAAATGAAAGTAGATATCAATGAAAGACTGTACACAGTGTTCATAGCAGGTTTATTTTTAATAGCCAAAAACTGTAAACAACACAAATGTCTATCAATGGGTGAATGGATAAATGAACTAGGGTATATCAATACAATGGAATACTATTCAGCAATAAAAAGGAATAAACTACTGACACACAGAACAACACAGATGAATCTCAAAATAATTATGCTAAGTGAAAGAAGCCAGGCAAAGAAGACATTATACTGTATAGTTCCATTTCTATAAAATTTTTATAATGCAAACCCATCCATAGGGTCAGAAAGCCATCAATGGCTGTCTGGAGAAGGGAGAGTCTGGGTGTAGAGAACAATGAAAAGAGACAGATGGTTTCACAGGTCATAAGTCAAAAACTTATCAAATTTAAATACATGCACTTACTATGTGCTAATTATACTCATTAAAGCTATTTTTAAAATTATGCAAAACCAAAAAGTAAAGACAATTTAAGATAACAACAATCAAAAAAGAACATAATCTGCAATTTCATGAATTACAGGCTTTAAACATAAATGATTTTATACTATTCCAGACATAATCTTTTATTTGGTGAAAATAGAAAAGGGGGCATAGGACACAGGTCATTGGTTCATTGGCACATGTGAAAGCAAGTCTTTTGTCTTCAAGAAAAAGGTGAACACACAGTAAAGCCTTGAAGAATAGGCTATTGCTTTTAATATTAACATCATTTCTTTTTTTTTTTTCCTTTTTGTCTTTTTTTTACTGACCGGTAACGGGATCGCAACCCTCGGTGTCGTGCCTGTACCGGGGGACTGGCAACGGGATCGCAACCCTCGGTGTTGCGCCCCCACCGCGCTCAGCCAGTGAGTGGGAACCGGTCTCCACATGGGATCCGAACCCTCGGCGGGAGCACCGCCGCACTCCCACGCAGCGCACTCTCCAGTGCACCACCGGGCTGGCCCTAACATCATTTCTTAATTAAGATGTAGCTAATCTGAATTATTTCATAATAATTTTTAAAAAGGAAAAATGATTTAGTCTTTCCCAATTTAACCTGCCCTACTCCCAGGCAGAATTAGGACTTCACTCCTCCCACAGCCCTGGAAGTACATCTTTTCTGGCACTGCCACATGTATATTGCAATGCCTTGTCTTCCCTCTAACAGCTCCACCAGGATAGGGACTGTGTCTTTTGATCTTGGCATAGTGGTCAAATATAATTGCTTTGGAGTCTGAGAGCCTGGCTTCCTGTGCTAGACTCTATCACTCACCTACTGTGTAACCTCAGAAAGTTACTTAATTTCCCTGATGCCTAGTTTTTTAAACCATAAAACAGGGCTAATAGGGTATACATAAGGATTCGACGTGAATTTCTCCAAAAAGGCCCTGCGCGATCTGACACCTGATTTCCACCATATCATTTAGTTCTATCCTCCCTTGATTGACAGTGCTCAGCCACAATGACTTCTCTCAGTTCCAATACATCCACACACAGCCAAGCTCTTTCCTGCCTCATGGCCTTTGTAACATGCTGTCCCTCCCTGATCTTCCTCCATGACTCTCTCCTCTCCACAACCTCTTATCCCACAACAACATTGCTAGCTCTTCTCATCCTCAAGTTTCAGCTTAAATGTCACCTCCACAAAGAGGCTTTCTCACTAGTAACATGGGAGCCCCTGGTTATTCTGTCTTAGCACTCCTTGTTTCTTTCTTTCCAATTGACAATTAGTTAGGGAGGACCGACTACCTGCCAGGCACTGTCCCAGATTCTGAAGATACAACAGTGAATAAAACAGCTCTGAGCAGATCTGGTGGAGTGTACAACTAGTGGGGGAAGACAGGCAATAAACAAACGAGTAACATATGATATGTTAGATAGTCATAAGTAGCGCTATGGAGGAAAAAAATGTTAAGTTATGAAAGGAAGAATGGGAATTGCTAGGATGATTGCAATTTTAAATGTGGGGGGTCAGTGAAAGCTCACTGAAGACATAACATTGAGTAAAGAAGTGAAGGGGGTCAGAGAGAGAACCAGCAGAGAGATGGAAGCTGGTGGGGACTGGGGGGTGCAATCCAGGCAGAGCACAGCAAGTTCAAAGGCCCTCAGACAGCAAGGAAGCAAGTTTGGCTGTAGTGGCCTGAGTAGGGAGTAGAGCAGCAGAGATGAGAAAAGTAAAAGGATGGAGGAGCAGGGAAACCAGAAGAGGTAAGCTCTGGGAGCCACTGTCAGGTCTTTGCCATTCACTCAGAACAAGATGGGAAGCCACTGAGGTTTTGAACAGAAGAGTGGTGTGATCTGATTTATATTTTAGAGCTGGCTGGTTAGCTCAGTGGGATGGAGCACAGCCTCATAAAACAAAGGTCATGGGCGGCCGGCCCGGTGGCGCACTGGATAGTGCGCCGCTTGGGAAGTGCGGCGGCGCTCCCGCCCGAGGGTTCGGATCCCACATACAGACCGGTTCCCGCTCACTGGCTGAGCGAGGCGCGGGAGCAACACCGAGGGTTGCAATCCCGTTGCCGGTCCCCGGTCCGGTACGGGGGCAACACTGAGGGTTGCGATCCATTGCCGGACACGGAAAAAAGACAAAAGACAAAAAAAAAAAAAAGGTCATGGGTTTGGATCCTCATACTGGCTAGCCACCAAAAAAAAAAAAAAAGAAAGAGAAAGAACATGACTTACATTTTAAAAGCTGCGATTAGTTTACTAATATATTTTCTCTCCATCTTCCCCACTAAAGGCATGAACCACAGGGGTTTGTGCAACAGTATAACCCCAGCACCTAGCACAATATATTGTAAGAACAATAAATACTTATAGATGTGCAAGGTAATCTATATATTTATTGATACAAAATAAGCACCCTGTAAGTGACGACTGTTATTATTTGATCCTCAGAGTCCATCACAGTGGCTGGCATATGGTGGGAACTTGTCTGAGTAAATGAATAACTTTGTGAAATTATTGAAAATCTGTATTTAAAGCATATGATGTGTAATGGTAAATGAATAATAACAAAGAATTGATTGCTTTTCCCCCTTTCTCTTACTTTTTAAAATGTAACTGATTCAGTTTTTGAATTTTACACTAAGGTCTCACCTTATGTTACTGAGGGGACTACCTAGAATAATCTCATTATGACTCATTTCTCTAAACATACTGCAATATTCTGCAACACAATTAGCACTGATCCGCTGAAATGCTAGTAAAATTTTTAATTGGGTAAACATATTCACATGAATTTTTAAACAATCTTAATGTACAAGGAAGGCTAGCTGACTTAAACTAGTTTTATTTTATTTTTTAATTCAGATGAAGGCTTAACTCAAACATCTAGCAAAGACCTAAACATTTCCACTTTTTACTTATTTTGAAATCTCCAGTCTTCCGCACGAAAAAGCTTAAAGAGGATACACCTGTTCCCACCGCCCCCTGGGTGCGGGGGTAAGGGAGGGGACTGGTGGGGCTAAGGCTGTGCAGTAATTATCTCAGGAAAAGCCCTTGGGAGTCTCAGCAGTTTTCCAGAAAGAAACTAGAGAAGCAGCCATACATTTTAAAAAGTCTGAAATATTCCATCCCATAAAAGTTGATGATGTTACGATGTCTCAACGGCAGGTTCCCGAGAGGTGAGGAGGCCAGGTATGGTTCAGATTTTTAATTGTATTCCCCATCCCTGAGAGTGATCGAGCCCATCACACAGCATCTGCAACGAGGCCTTCGGAGTTATGGAAACTTTTTAAGAAAAACAGATGAAAGTTGCTTCCGATCTAACAAACTTAAAAAAAAAAAAAATCTATGCAAAAGAGTTGCGAGGCTAGAGAGAGAGACCTTGGTTTGGTTGTGACTTGCTGGTGCTTGTACACAAGCGTGCCTGCTGGCACATAGCTCAGACGCTCACTTTCACTAGGGGAGGGGAAAATAATAACTTTCGGAAATAACAGGCGTCCACAAAGACAAATGTGACGCGGGACTTAGTCTCCATCAAATAAGGCGGCTAATATTCGAGCAGCACTGATTGCATTCACAGCCTCGTCCCCGCCCTTTTTTAACAGAAGAATATCCCAAGCAGGGGAAGGTGCATCATCACACCCTAAAGGCAATTTCAGACAACAAAGACCCCAAGCAATCAAAATGGAATTATAATCCCGGCCGTCCAAGCGCCCTCCCCTCTGCCGCGGAGGTGCTCGACTGCTGCGCCCGCGCTGTTTCCCGAGTGCCCGCCCGGTGGGTCCCCGAGCCCTGCCCAGCCCCGTGCGCCCGGCCCGCGGGTGCTCGGGTCCCCGGGCAGGTGTCGCGCCACCCCCGATTTTGCAATCTCTGCGCCGCTGTTCTCCGCGTCCTATATCACGCGGCGTTCAAAATCTTTCCCGCCCAGGCGTGACGCGAGAAATAAAAACAATCAGCCCCCCCCCCCCCCC